TACTGCTACTGCTACTGCTGCTGCTACTGCTACCGCTACTGCTACTGCTACTGCTACAACAACAACCACTACTACCACCACTACTACCACTACTACCACTACTACCACTACTACCACCACTACTACTCATAACTATCCTAACAATAACAGTAGTAACAGTAACCATACTAATAATAGTATTAAAAATCACTCCCAGAAGCTCTGAGACGCATCCTGGTAACACAGCGAAGTGTGCGCTGCGAGTGCCAGCGAGTGGCCCGAACTTCTCTGCATGCACGCCATTGCACAGCAAACCCTAGAGCCCCTAAGCCCTACATCCTAAACCCCTAAACCCGAAACAATACACCATGGAGCCACAAGCTGTAATCATCCGAATCCTAACAGCCACATCGAGCCCCAAGCCCAAAGCTCTGACATCGAATCTCCGAGCGCACTAAAACCACTGAAGCCGTTCAAGGTCCTCGTTTCGCTGCTTCGGCGGGACGGTGGAGAATGAGGGCATTCTGGTGACCTGACTTTGGAGTTCTGCTCAAATCCAAGATTTTGGTTTCGGGGCCGTGTCGCCGACTTGAGGCTCATGTCGCTTCTTGGGAGCTAGTTTGGGAGGCTAGGGCGTCTGGGTGTTTGGTCGGTTAAGGCGAGCAGCAGCGTTTTTGGAGACTGGCCAGCTCGAGAGCCCTCTTGATGTTTCGAGCTTGAGAGGTGGGGAGGCCAGCGACACTGAAGGTTTCTGCAGAGTTTCTGGCTAAAGCTGGACAAAGGAAGACATCCATAGGGAGCAGTGCAGGTGTCGAAAGCCTCCGTTGAGGCATTGATGCCAATCGAGTTTTCGAAGCCCTGCAACTTCCTTCAGCCGATCCTTATGACTCTTCCGTGAACCCTAAACCCTAAACCCTAAACCCTGACATCTGAGGCCTGCTCCGTGTCCCTGAACCACTACTCCTCCGGCCGGCGGCAGTATAAGTTCGAGATTGAGCCGCGTCTGACATCCAGACCCTGAAGGTCCCGAAACACTTCGAAACCCCGAACCACGAAAACAACGCAATCAATTTTGCCGGGGGCTCCTGGCACAACTAAGGGCAAGCGGTAGGGCGATCTCCAGTCTGTTGGCTTATCGATGCACTAGCCACAAGAAATATCGAAGCTGTAAGCACAAGCACTGCCCCTTCACCTTCGGACAAGCTCTCTGTCATGGTTTGGGCAGGCATGTTGAGGTCGGTCTAGACAATGCCGTGCACGCAAGTTTTGTGTACGCACGCAAACATCATGTGCACGGGTGACCTCCTTTGTTTACTGTAGCTACCCATCGATCTGCCTACCCACATGCCCTTTGCTACACAGATGTCTGCGCACGACCACCATCTACTTCTATAGTCCGTGAGGAGAGCACCAAGACAGTCTTGGTGGACTGCATTAACGGCATTCCGGACCTGCCGCCCGAGGTCCCTCGGCGTTGCATGAAACCTGGGTATTTAGGTAGCATTATTAGGGGTACCC